TATTCATCATTTTACACTATTAAAATAAATGAAAATTCGGAGGAAGAAATCCTAAAACGCCCAACAATCAATAGAATATGATCTGTATGACATCAAAATATTTTACTTTAGTAAGGCTTGTGATACACAAATTACCAACAAATTTATATTTAAACACGAAATTCAACTTGATTTTATTGTGGAGGTTACGTAATGCATACTAAAAATTGAACAGTTTCCAGTAGCGCCCGGTATAAACAAAAATTATATGTATTACGTATTACGTATATTATGTAATTTTTCCTATCTACGTATTTATTTATATATCGATATATATATACGAATAATTAACTGGCCATTATCGTTAACGTAGAAATGGTCTTTTTAATTGTTTAAACTACCGGGTTTAGGATTTCTTTTTTAAGTGTACTTTTGAAATCCTGGCTTATTGAAAAATTGTCACATTATTATTTTTTTTTTGTAAATCATATATAATTTAATTTATAAATGAATCTTTAATTTACACCAAATTTATCAGAGACATTTGTAATTAGAAGTTTATATTTTATAACACTTTAACGATAGCATTCAAAAAAAATTGTATTATAAAATTTATCACATCATTGTTCGGTATGTGAATTTTCAATATATAATAAAACTCATGATTAAGGTATGCTATTGATCCTTTGTTATTAATAAGTATATGCGTTTACATTTCTTTGATGCATATATGCGTAGTCATGAACACATGCGAAAATTATTCTTCATATTCTACTTCCTCGACACCTTTTACATTCTATCAATCCTCATCCATATCAGCAGCAGCAACAACCGCACAATCAAATAATTCAATTCAACCGTATAAACAGTCACTTTCATTCTCTCAACAAATACTTAAAGGATTAAATTATTCAAATTCACAATCAAATTTACTATCAAGTTTACAAAAATGTTTATTTATAATAGTTCCTACAGAAATTTTCATATTAATATGTTCTCATTTAACGCCATGGGATTTAATATCACTTTCAAAAACTTGTCGTAAATTTCATGATTATTTATGTTCAACTATATCTTCAAATACTCAATTAATTTGGAAAACATCAAGATTAAATACGATATTCTTTCCTAAAATTCCTCCTCCATCAGGACTTAATGAAAGAGAATATTGTTTAATATTAATGCTTGAAAAAGGTTGTCAATTTTGTGGTAGAAAAGGTTCTAGGGATGTACGAATATATTGGACATTTCGGGTTAGATCATGTTGGGATTGTTTAATGAATCGAACCGTTTGTGTTGAAAGGTGAGTCTATTGATATATAATTAAAAGAATTTATTAAAATAATTAAAATAATTTATTAAAATAATTAAAATAATTTATTAAAATAATTAAAATAATTTATTAATTAAATATATATTTTTTTTTTTAAAAAAAAAAAAAAGTGGAAATGAAATTCCTGAATATGCGAGTGGTTTACCATTTACTAAATTCAGATTAAATGGTATGTATGGTTCAGAATATATGGTATTCTGGGCTGATTCCTTAAAACGAGCGAAATATGAATTCGATAACCTTTCAAAAACTGAACGTTCTGAATGGATAAGAATTTCGAAACAAAAGGCTAAAGAAATTGAGATTGATTCAATATATCGTGAAAAACTTGATCAAAAATTATATGATTTAACAATGTATCATAAAAAATGTCAAATTCTTTTATATTATGAACTTTTAGCTTCTGAATCAAATTCCAATGGAAATTTACTTTATAATCGTTACCTTTTAGATATGTGCCCTTTTTTAAATGAAGTAATGTTATTACCAAATCATTTATTCGCGAGAATTGATTATGATAGATGGAAAAATAAAATTTTAGAAGAATATCGAATTATTGAGATGGAACGAAGAATAATTCCAAAACGTTATAATCAAATTAAAGAAAGGTTAGTCTATTCACCTTTGTATAAACGTCCTGCTATTTATTGGATACCATATTGTCCTAGTTATAAGTCTCCTCCTTATCATAATAATGATGCAAGGATTCCATGGGATGACAAATTTTTGGATAAAGTGCTTGTACCTAGAATTATGTCAGAAGCTACATTATGCGTGAAACAGGCTGAGGATGCTGTCTTTGTGCTAAAATTTATAGAGGATGTTTTATGTACGAGAATTAAAACTGTAAGGGATGCGTTAGCGCATGAGCTTGGTAATGACGAAATGTTTAGATGCAGTTTATGTGGTAATATGAATTTGAATTTCAATTTAAGGTCGAGTAATAGTTTAAATTATGTAGATAATTCGACAATGTTATATAATTATACTGATGTTAAACGACATATTCGTTCAAACCATTATAATTGGTACCAAAATTACTCTGAAGGATCTGAAAGATGTGAGGATATTTTCATTGAATTAGATATAAAAATTGTACGAACTTTCTTGATAAATTGTTCAAATCATTGGTTTTGGCACGGCATATATCCTTATAAATTACCTGATGATTTGGCAACAGTTTTAGCAAATCGAAGGATGATATGGTGGATTTGATTTAATTTTATTTTAATATAACGAATAACGATAATAATATTATTAATTTTTTAATTGGTTTTAATAATTGTTTTATTAATTTTTAATTGTCACTTGTAAACAACAGATACGTAATGTTTTTTTATTACGAAATAATAAATATTATCACGTGAACATGACGTAATGAATACGTAAACAAATTATATGCTATTAGATAATAGCTGATGTCGACTTAAAGAGCATGACTATATATACATTATACATACATGCAGGTATTAGGTATTAATTAAATGCTAAATAATATTATATGCCTTTCCTTTCCTTTAAGTATCGGAACATATTATATTGTACATTTGACACTGTCAATTATTAAATTGTACGAACACTTGGCTTTCGATTAAAATTCGCAGCACCTTCAGCTTTTTTAGCAGCTTTAAATTCACGCTTTCCCCATATTTTTTGATCTCTGCCAGATTCTCTTAAATAATCTTTACGCGTTATTTTACCAATTGTTTCCTAATTATAAAATATATATACGCGTTAAAAAATTAGAATTTTTATAAAAAAAATTTCAAAATAGAAAAAAGAGATGCACACAAACTTTAATCTTTCCAATAATAGCTTCCTTAGCTCCATGTGCCAAGGAGGGATTATCAAATTCAATCTTAGCATTTTCTTGTG